GGGGATGACCTAGGGGTGAACGTGCAATAGTAAGAGGAGGGACTAGGGGGGCATGTGTGGCAAGATAGTAGCCTAAGCTTAGTCATCTTAGAGTGGTCCCGGGCTTGCCTATGGGCACTGCTTCAAGGGAACAATCACAGAAAGGAATGGGCCCTATTTGGGGTGAGTCAGATTTTACAGTCTGGCCGCTCTAGATGGCTGATGTTAAGGAGAATAACCTCTGATCTATTTTCGCTGCCTAAAGAACAGTTATTTTCAAGCTAAGTCTGGCATATATTTTGGGGAGACAACTTAAGAGAAATCCTTCTGTTCCTCACCGTTCGTCTCTTCTTCACAAATCCCAGGGGACGGGAGTGCAGGGAAGGAGAGTCCAGGGAGAAAATCTTCATCGTATTAAAGTGTCTGGACTCAGTGTCTCTTCCTCCGCCCAAACCACTGATCCATTTCTCACCAGCTGCTCCTTCCTTTCCTTCCCTCCTCCCCTTTCCTTAATTTCTAGCAGTTCCACCACCCCAAATTGATCACTGTAAAGTTTGATAGTAAACTCTCGACATTTTGTCAGATGAGCATTCCAAACACTAGTCTCAGTAACCATAAAACAGCACAGGCAGATTTTAGAATGATTGATTCTTTTTGAGCCTCTGTTACATCCCTCTGGGTGTGACATTGGTGGTTCAATGGTAGAATTTTTGCCTTAGATGAGGAAGACCTGTCGGTCACAGGGGGCTTGTGTGTTGCTACAGAGAGAACAGGTTTCAGCAGAGTTTCCAGACTAATATGGTTTAAAGAAAACATCCTGGAAATCTATCTACGAAACTCAGCCAATGGAAACCTTACGCATAACAAAAGCCTAACCACAACTGATCGCGGGGATGGAGCAGGACTGGTAGCATTCATTCCACTGTGTATTTGGTTAACACAAATCAGGGGCCAACTCAACGGGAGTTAACTATAAACTAACATTATATATCTGCTGATAAAGATCTTTCAATTCGTACAGAACCCCTGAAAGTTATTAGTACTTCCACTTTACAACTGAGGAAACAGGCTGACAGTGGCTGTAGGGCCTAGCAAATTCATAGTAATCATATTACTATTTGTCATAGTCTGGTGGCTTGTTATTGCTATGGCGTTGAAAGTGATCCCACTGGAAGTTCAAAGGCAAGTTGGGTCATCCATGGTGAATGAATTTCAGTAGAGCTTCTAGACTACGATGACATAGGAAGAAGGATCTGACTCTCTATGTAAGTACTGTGAAACCTTATGAATATCAATAGAAAATTATCTGATATAGTGATAGAAGATGAACTCCAAATTTGACTGAGGATGGAGTACAGAATTAGAGACGGTCATTTACTAACGTGGTACAATTCAAAATGAAAAGAAACAGTTGCACACATCCACTGATAATCAGAATGTCAAATGTACAAAGTGTGAATCTATGGAAGACCAACAACACATTTGTTATAAACACATTTTTCCAAAAGAAACCGTTGCACACATCCACTGATAATCAGAATGTCAAATGTACAAAGTATGAATCTATGGAAGACCAACAACACATTTGTTATAAACACATTTTTCCACAACATAAGCAGCGACTGCATGTCAGCCTCGCCAGATGGAGCACATAAGAATCAAACCAACCACAGCAGGGGAAAGAATTGATAGAGACATTCCATTTTATCAGTCCAAAGCAGGCCACGGACCAGAGTCTGGCTGAAGAACACATCATCAAATGTTCATTTTCAAGTTCAAGATGAAGCTGAAGAAAAAGAAAACAAGTCCACAAGAGCCAACGTACACCTTGAGGCACCTCGAGGTAGGTTGACACCAGCAACCTTTACACTAATAATTGAACGTCTAGACTCAGTGTCAGGACCAGACTGACCCTGAGACACCGAGGCAAACCACTAAAAGCATGTGGCACAGCAACCGTGGGATCGGAGCAGGGAGCCCCCGAGGGAGTACAAAGGACAGACTCTGGGGCCAGAGCATGGTACCCCATCAGACCTGACTGAAGGACATGCCTAGAGATCAAGAATCAGACCTTGATCGATTTACAGGTTTTTCTTTCTTTTTAAAATTTTTTTCTTTTAATTAATTTATTCTTCTATGGGTAATTGGTTTCCTTTTTTGTTGTCATCGCTGTGT